GCAGTTCTCATTAGAGTTATACAAAACTCCAGCATTAAAGAACTGCTTAATCCACTATCTTAAATTATTAAAATCCCAAAGCCCTGCCATACTTTCAGAAGGCTAAGGTCTCATGACTGTATATACACAGGCCAAAATTGTACAGAAAACTAAAACAATTTTTGTACTTGGTATTTCAAACCATGAAAAGTATAGTGAGGTCAACAGGCCTCAAATCAAGAAAGCAAAAACCAAAGCTGACAAAGGACCATATTCTAAGGGAGTTTAGAAGAAACATCTATACCCAGGAAGGCAATTAATATGTGAAACAGATTACAAGAGAATCTGCAACTCTGAGTGTGTGTGTGTGTGTGTGTGTGTGTGTGTGTGTGTGTGTGTAAAATAAATAAAAGTTAGACAAATAGTCAGATGAGAACATATTTTAAATGGCACAATTGTTTGATGGATGTGGGAGACTTAGCTGGGTCAACATGTCCTAGTTATTTTCCAAATGTGACTTGATTTTCCAAATGTGAACCGTGAAAACTTGATTTCAATTTTCTATCGGACACAAGAAAGTTAATAGAATCTCATGGAGGAACCAAAGATAGAAACGGCACTGGCTAAGATTACTTTGCAGCAGCCACATGTCCCCTTAGAAATTTTTACTTTGTATCACACATGCAAAAGACAGTCAAAGTAAAAAGCAAATCTTACCTGATTTTGTCCCATGCCATGACATGGATATAATATGATTCTGTGCCCTGTTACTTCATGCTCATTTGGAGGGTTGTAATCAAAGCAGTGATTTTCCATTCCTCTATTTTTCAGCTAAATAAGACCAAAGAACATATTAAAAGCATCAGCCTGAAGTAGATACATTTGTGTCATTTCATACCCCTATACTGTATTTTAGGCTTCCCTCTTCCAGTTCTAAGCCCTGACAGAGCTAGTTTCACTAGGGTTGCCAGGTGTCCGGTATTCAACCAGATGTCGATTAAAAAAAAAAAAAAAAAATACCAGACATGTGCAATGTTCAGTATTTTCTGGTTTTCCAGCTGATGGAAGCCTGTGGGGAGGGGGGGAGTGGCTGGGAGGTAGGGTGCGATTGACTCTGAGAGCCTCTGGTTGCGTCTGATGTAGTAGAGACATCTTGGGGAGGAGGAGAAGCCCTGTCTGTGCTCCCGAGAGCTGTTCAACTGTTGTGGAGCAGTAGCCAGATTCACTCGCTTGTGCTTTGCCAGAACCGTGCACAGGACAGGCAGCGCCCTGGGATCTGCATGTGCCTGGGTCAGTCCTGTTCCCCACCGGCCGATTCTCTCCCCCTCCCCTCCCGACCAGCCCCGCTGCCCCCGACCTCACCTCCCCTCCCCCCACCAGCCCTGCCTCCTGTCCTCCCAGCCAGCCCCGTTCCCCTCCCGGCCAGTTCCTTTCCCCTTTCTCTCCCCCCTCTCCCCGATCAAGTGTGTCTGGTATTTCTTCTGAAGCTACCTGGTAACCCTAAGTTTCACTGTTCACTGGCAACAATAGCACCTGGTAGAGGTGACTTTGTACAACTAAACCTGATAATAGTGGACCAGGGTAGACCTTGTGCAGCTGGCTTTGCTGAACTAGAAACTGGCAGCAGCAGACTGGTAGCAGCAACTCTGGAGGACTGGATTGGGGCAGACCTGGTATTGCTAACTTGTGCAGATTAGGCCTTGCATGGCAGAGGTATATTGGAGGCCCTCATGTGGACTGCCACATAATCTAACTGAACACTTGAGTCAGGTTTAGGTAAGCGGGGACTGTGTCTGAACAGTAATTTGGGCCCCCAGAAAACTAGGCAATTAAACACTGAGCTCAGGGAACACTGCCAGACCGCCATGTTCTTTTTCTATTTTGGTTCATTTAACTTCTTAGTTTTTTTAAATAGAATTGCATTTCATTTCTCAAAATAAAAGGACTCTCGTGTTCTTTCAGAGTGGAGAAAAACCCTGTCAAGACAACTAGAGTTTAGGATTTAAAGTTCCTAAAATCTGAAACTGGATACAATGTAATGGCGACTTAAACCAAATTATTATTTATTTTTATAGGGATGAGTAGTCATTACATTGCACCCAGCCTTTCTTACTGCTGCTGACACCTTGCACGACATTTACATTATTGTTTAATTTAAAATATTCCATGGGCAAATCAATATGGACTTCCAGTTACTAAAATATCCAAGATAAACAAAAGTTACTTGAAAATGTGGTGAACTAGGGCATAATAATAATTAAAAAATGTATATATGCTTTGCTTAGTTCCATATTTACCACTTAAAGAAATGTTAATTTACTTGAAACAAAACAAGTTCTGTAAATAAACATTGAAGATAAAAACCTCTTTTACCTGAATCCTACTATGTCACATACAAAAAAATAATCAGGCAGGGCTATTTTCTCTATCACTACTGAAGGTGTAATTCGGCTTCTTCTCAAGTACTAAGTGATAATTATATCTACAGTTTGAGTGCAGAGAACGAATAGATATGAAGAATTTAGGACAAATCACTGTAAAACAAGGTATTCTACAAATATTTTTCTTTATTTTTGTTTTCCTCTACTTTTATTTATAATCCAATCTCCTCTTTTCACATTTTATATCCACTGGACTGCAATACTTTTTGCTGCAATAACACTCCTCATACACCATTTTCCAGATGTTTCTCACCATCCCGGTGAGTGCAATAACACCATGAATCAACATGGTGACTAAACAATAAGCATGCTTTTGAGTTCTGATAGATCTCTGAGAAGCTGTCCATACCTTGCAGTTTAGTGGTGCTGTCCAGAGCTAAAGGTAGTCTCCCTAGCTGCCTTTTTATGGTAGAGTGGCTTGATTTGAAGGCAGTTGCATTAGAAACTATTCTATCCCTTTTGTAAATTATAGAAAATTTTTCATTTACATTTAACACTAATAAAGGGGCTACATACAAACACAGAAAAGTAAAACTGAGCAAAGCTTGAAATAATTATACAAATTACATTCCCAGTATTTATAATATTTGATATAAAGGAATATCACATTAGAGATATGCTAAATTACAAATGATAATTTTTTCAAGTAACTAAAATCATAAATAAGACCATGCTCTCAATAATTGACTTCACAGTTAGACATACTACTCATCAATATACTCAGAAATCTATTGCGTTGCCACACTGGCTGTTAGTTGATCTTCCCATTGAAATAGAGTCAAATATTCACCCTAGCTGTCATTCCCCAGCTGTCTGATCCAAGCAAAGAAGTTACTCAGGCTCTGTCTACACTGCAGGTTTATTTAGAAATAACAGAGTGTGGGTCTACACAGCAAGCCTGTTATTTTTCGGTAACCCTCATTTCATGAGGAGTAAGGGAACGCAAAGGAATAGTGCTCTTCTTTTGACTTCCTGATGTGTAGTCAGCACCAAAAGCTGAATTAAGCCATTTCTACTTCAGCTATGCAATTAACGTAGCTGAAGCTGTGTAGCTTAATTCGACTTTGTCCTGTAGCATAGACTTTCCACAAGAATGCTCCACTAGCATCTGACCAGCATAATATCCTTCTGCCTATATTCCATTAAACATCACAATGATTATTTCTCAGTTTAAGTTAGCCATCTGTTTTCTACAATATTATAGACTTTTAGGCACGACACTATTTTGTATGTGTGCATAAGTAAACTGCAAATTACTGCATTCACATATAACTCTTGGTATTCTGTGTAATATTAACAAAGCAGAAATAAAGGAGAGGAAAATTTAAACAGGGTTCTAAAAATGTAAACTCAAATAAAAAAAACTGTATAAAAGATGCCTAATTACCTCAAATTTCAATTCAGAGCAACTTTGTACAGTAAACTTCCGACAATCCGGCACCTTTAGGACCCAAGGGGTGCCGGATTATCAGATGGAGGGGCTATGAGGGGTCTGGAGTGGGGTGGGAGGGGATGCCACCCCAGACCCCTCATAGCCCCCCCTTACGATAGTCAGGCTCTGCCCCAGGATTCCCTGATTCAGCCACTGCTGGTCAGTTTCAGACGCCTGGGGCAGAGCAGCTGGGGTACTGCCCGGTTGGTCCCATAGCGCTGGACCAACCCGGCAGCACCCCAGCTGCTCTTGGGGACGCCTGGGGCAGAGCAGCTGGAGTGCCGTCGGGTTGATCCTGCAGCGCCAAAGGACGGCGCTGCGGGACCAACCCAGCAGGACCCCAGCTGCTCTGCTCCAGGGGTCCCCGATTCAACCGCTGCTGAAACAGATCAGCGGCTGACTTGGGCCCCAACTGCACCCCAGCTGCTCTGCTCCAGGGGTCCCCGATTCAACCGCTGCTGAAACAGATCAGCGGCTGACTTGGGCCCCAACTGCACCCCAGCTGCTCTGCTTCCGGCTTCTCCGATTCAGCTGCTGGCCAGTTTCAGCAGCAGCTGAATGGGGGAAGCCTGTCCGGCTGCTCCAGCACTTCCGGGTTCCTGATGGTGCCGGACCATCAGGAGTCCCGGAACATTGGATGCCGGACTAATGGAGTTTTACTGTATATAGTGTTTGTACTCCACCATTGTGTCATTTCATCTTTGTATCTTTTGTTGTGAAGACAGACCTCTAACATGTAGGGGCAGTATTTCAGCCAGACTATACCTAGATCTCTTATTCTGTGAACTCAAGCATTTTCCAATGTCATTTTACAGCCTTAAATTAGGCCTTTTCAAAATCTAAGAACCTTGGGTACAAGGCACCTAAATGATGTACGGTGCACTTGCAGATATTTTACCCATAAACTCCAGATAGAAAAACAAAGGTGTGAAAATCTGTTCCTGGAACCATTTATGCATGAATTCACCAGTCTTTTGTTCCAAAGCTGGAAGAGATGAGAGAGCGTTTGTGAAAACATGGTCTTTTCCTATTAACTGACATGAGACAGTTTGATTTCTGTTGACAAAAATAGTGCCATAACAGTATCTGTTTGTTCATGTGATCTCTCCTAATATGTTTTCCCAACATGTATCAAACAAGGCTAAATCATGCACAAAATAAAGTAAAGTTTAAACAGAATTTTAGTATGGAATTTTAAATTTGTCGGTGACTTACCTTAATATTTTAGCAGAGTGCTGCATTAAAAAAAATAAAAAAAAGAAAATATTTGTTCTCCTAAAGTGTTACTTTTGCCTCATAAAAGTTGCCATTAATTATGTCCAGACAGGATTTCCAGTTGTTTCTTTGCCTAAGTACATTTTTGTCTCCCATGCTGTGTGTTCTGTAACCACAATTAGTCACCATTCTCTTTGGAGGTTGCAGATAGGCAATAAACTACAATTGTTTAAACTACAATATCGTGAAATATTAGGGAACATTTGTGACAGGAAGGCAGGGTGGAATTTTCAAAAAGGGCTCAACATTGGCTCATTGTCACTTGAAGAAAAGTTAGACTTTCAACACCTCCTGCTTTTGAAAATCCCCTTCTTAAAACCATTCGCTGTGTCTTTCCACTTCCTCAAAGCGTAACAGATATCAAAGAACTGGAGATGGAGGATGGGGTTTCTTGTCTGTATCTATATTAACAATCAAGAGCTTAATTTATAGATGAATAACCTTTTGGTTGCCTTTGGGTATTATCACTTTAGAACTCTACATCTGGGAAACTCAAACACGGTGATAAATCTCAAGGAGGTAGGACAGAAGCAGCTAGCTCTCTTACCTAAAGAATGACTGGAAATCTGCTTTTCTGAACAGGACATCAGACCTCAAGATGAGATCAAAAGTAATGCTGGGCAAACGTATGGACTAAGCAGCAAGCATCAGCTCTGCAAATCTTTGATTGGCATTTTCTGAAGGTATACCTGTGACACAGAGACCACTGGGCAAACGGTCCCCTTTTCTTTGCAAATCTCTCTCATCTCAGATCTGATAAACTCATTATACTAATCACACATTACAGGATATTTATCCCTAAAGGATAACATGTCAGGCACCTACAGAAAGTTTGTAACTTGCCAGGATTCATTACTGTTGGATGGGTAATATTTAAGCAACTTTAATGGGGACTCAGGGGAGGGGGGTGGAAGGTCAGGAGGGATGTACCGGGTCTACCCGTGACGGCAAGGGTGGCGCTTCTCTGCTGGCGGCTCATCCCGGAGGGGGAGTGTGTCGCGCTAGTGGTAGTACAGACTCTTAAAGACTGGAGGTAAAGGATTTAACAGTTACTGTCTCAAGGATTTTGATATCAACTGTGCTTATTTTGCTTAAAGGTTCCAAAGGACTCTATTGGACAATTGCCAATCAATTCCAAGTGCACTTTCATATGGGGTACTGTAAGGTTCTTACTTATCCCTTTTTTGTTCAATATGGAATCAGTCTGTTAGAGGAGTAAATGAGGAGACTTAGGCAGAAGGTGGCTGTCCAAGTGAGAGTAAATTTTCACCGAACCCCGCACCCCGATCCTTCCCAAAAAACCAACCAACCAACCAGCTAAAATAACACTACAGACATTCTTGCGTGGGTTGCAGTCTGGACTCTAAGACTCACTCCTTTATTTGGGATGAGTGGGACTGTCTACACTAAGCCCTAAGAGTCTGAGTCAGTTGATCTGGATTCTGAGACTTGCCACTGCAGGGATGTTGGGTTTTTTTCTTTGTTTGTTTTTTCAGTATAAATGTACCCTGAGTGTCTTAGATAGCACATGACACCTATGCTCAGGGATCTGCACCGGTCAACGATTAACTGCTGGATAAATTTTCAAGTATTAGTTTTGACATATGAAATCCCTAAAGGTCTGGGACCAGACTATCTGAAGGAGGCTACTGTCCACTGTTTCCCATGACAGAGCACCAGAGTTGTAATCACTGGAGGTGTTCATGCTTGACATAACAGAGGGGACAGCTGGCTGAGCATTCTCTATAAGGACCCCAGGGGTCTGGATTACCTTCCTAAACCTGCTCTGGAACAGTTCAGACTTGACAGTCTTGATAGCATGCCTTGGAGCCCTTTCAAGGGAAGTTCAAAAACCCAGATGCTAGTGATATTCTGGAATATTAACATTTTTTACATTAAGAACTGCTAATTGTTAGAAGGTATGATGCTAACTGAGATGTGTATTACTGATAATTAACAGCATGCTCAGCTGATTGGTGTGTGCATGCTTTTTATTGCTTCAAATTAAAATAAAATTAAAAAAAAATTAATAGAAAAAGAATAGCTTTATTTCCTGACTATTATTCTAATCTAAGCTTGTGCTCATATGTTTAAAAGCATTTTATTCCTATTTTCATATGTTTAAAAGCATTTTATTCCTATTTTCAAGAAATTTTGAAAGCTATATTCCCTGACCCCAAAATCCTAGATATGACTTATTTTTGAGCTGCAATTTATGGTAGTTTTTGGTCTTAACAGTGCTATTTTACTTAAATTTCTAATACCTACCCAATTTTAGTGTCTTCCAAGTCTCTTTAAAATCTACCAAATCAACTTTTTTCCGGAATAAAAATGCCAGATACCACTTTACCTTCCATATTTCACAAATAAAAGGGAGAAAAGAACAACCCAGGGAGACACATTCCAGACATCAGTGAAGCAAGTTGCTTACCATTCCATAGAAGCCAGCTCTGTCTTCAGGTACATGAAGTTCAGGGTAAATATTCTCCAAGAACCACTTGAAATCTTTACATTTAAGCTTCTCTCGAAGCAGCCTTCTTTCTGTCACATCTCCATAAGGCTCCTACAATGAAACAACATGAAAAGCTGCCATTGCTAGATCCTTGGATTTGGTTTCATTATTATTAAGTTTGCTAATATTTTAACAACAACAATTCTTTCAAACAGTGCAAACTGATTTTTTTTTAAATCAGTTTAAATTGAGAACATAGTAGCAAATTCACAGTTAAGGGCTTTTGACTGGGTATTAAAGTCTCAACAACAGTGCATTAATTTAAGTTAAGAGTGCTAAATTATTCTCACCATCCATTTGTAAAATCTTCTCTAAAGACATCATTAAACTTAAATGTGATAAAAACTTTGGAAATTTTCAGTTAAGGTTGCCTTTTAACACTATACCTTGTTAAATAGTAAATTCAATAAGAAAATTAAGATTCATAATGGAACCTTAAATTTGATAAGAAAGCTATCACTCAAACTTTCGACTTGCTACTGGTTCAAATAGAATTCACATAATTTCTTCAAAGGTGTCTTCAAAAATCCACTGCTTCTTCCATAGCCCAAAGGTTCTTCATCTGAGAGTACAACCTCATTTGCAATTCCCATGTTTCCCAGAGGTTATGGCCATGTTCCTTTTCTTCTGCCCTTTTCTTAACCAAAGTAAGCTTCTAGACTCTCCTTCCATCCTTTCCAGAAATAAGACAGTCTGGGAGGCTTATGAGGCTTCCTCAGCTGTTTTATTCTTCTTGGAGATGACTTGCAGATACTGCACTTGGGTGGGATGTGGGTTTCCTCTAGTGAGTACACACTGGTATCATGGCAGTCTGATCAGGAAGGGTTTATGGCAGTTGATGAAGTTTTTTAAGCCAGGAATCCTTTCCTGGGGAACTTTCCCCACTACTTTTGAAGAATGTGGCTATTGTGGGTAAATATAGGAATCCCTCTCCAATCCAGACGAGGATCCCAAAATCTGAGGAGATAGAACCCAAGTATCTACCTTGGCTCAAGATCATCTCATCTGAAGAAGTGGGTTTTTCCCCACTACTTATTCATATTCCCCCTCCCCCTCCCCCTCTCCCTCTCCCTCTCCCTCTCTCCCTCTCTCTCCCCCTCTCTCTCTCCCATATATTACAGGACTACTCGACTACTTGTTGTTTTTAAAAAGTTACAGACTAACACAGCTACTCCTTTGAGACTATTTAGTATTGTTAGTTAGGGTAAACTGTTACAGGAAAAAGTTGAAGTAGTAAGCATGAACAATGAAGCTCCATCTGAGACCACAAGTAGTGAGAAGGGCAGCCCCTTGTATAATTTCGATGCAGAGCACTAGAACAACAGGGGCACATACACAGACCAGACAGACGCTGCTAGAAAAATTTCTTCAGTCCTGGATGCATGGGGCAAATGCATTAACCTTAAGTGCCTATATGTACACTACATTCCAAGCCATCCTGACATATCATTCAATTCCAGTTAGGTGCCAGGAGACTGAAAAACAAACAACATAAAAAAGCAAACTAAGGGTACATCCACACAGCAGAGCTATTTTGGAATAACGTCCATTATCCCGAAACAGTGTTGTACACATCTTAACAAAATAGATTTGAAATAACAGGCATCTTATTCCAGCTTCTTGAAAACCTCCTTGCAAGAGGATTAAGGAAGATGCCAGAATAACGATTTATTTCAAAATTAGTGTTGTGTAGACAGTGCCAAATTTTGAAATAAGCTATTTTGAAATAAGCTACACAATTTGTGCAGTACGAATTGTGTAGTTTATTTCGAGGTACACACTACTGTGTAGACGTACCCCAAATGTATTTGATAAGGCTGTAAAAGTTGAGAACTGTACTAAAAGGTAAGCCCATAAATGAGTATCTCTTCACTATTTTTTGAGAAGAAAGAGGCACTCTACTTACCAGCTCCTTCCTATCCATACTCAGGTTTGTTGGCATCATGTGGAAAAGTTCTGAACCACTTGTCTGAGATAAGACAAGATGCAACAATTTTCCTTAATGTGTGTGACTTTTCCTTTGCTGAATATTTCTCTGATTAGCAATGGCTTACTCTGAATGCTTTTCTCTCTGGGCAGTTTACAATGTGAGGAGTCATCCTAGAGTTTGAGACTCCCAGGAAAGTAGCACAAATGTGTCAAGGATCATGACCACCTTCCTGTCACCACTGCTAAATGGGAGGGAGATCCCAGATACAGACAGACTAAAAGATAGACAGAACAATGTGATGTTAATATGAGTGGAGCCACAGCACTATCCATAGTTAAGATTCTCTCAAAGTTTTCATTTCAGTGGGAGTACTTAACTTCCGCCCAAACTGTGTTTTGATTAAGATTACTTTAAAATGCCAGTAGGATTTTGTGAAGTGTTTTATGTCCAACTTGAAAAGAAACATGGCTGTTATGAGCTCAGATATAACTGTTCCCAAATTCCTAATGGCTATCACTTGGGATTGGGCACAAGTGAGAGCCTCGTCACCCAGTGTCCCCCTTTTCTCCCCAGCAAAGCCCACTATTTCCTATTGCATGACTATGCCCTCCACTGGGTCTATGTCCTCAGTACTGATCCCTTGGAAATCCCCCTTCCTCCTGGAATGCCTCTTTACCCCATCACTTCAGAGAGCTCTCAAACTACCAACGGCAGGCACAGTAAGGAACATCTTGTATCAGGATCCAGGAGCCATGTGTTGCATCTCATTGTCATGGGAACCACAATTCAGTGGGTACAATCTTGGGGAAAACAAAAAGCAAAGTCCTCAGCCTAAACAGCAATCCAACTGAAAAAGACCCTCTACAAAATTAACATAAACACTTCATTTAATGAGTTAAATATTCAGCACAACCTTCTGCAGCCACCCAGCACTTTAAAATTATAAAATTAAAAAAATAAAGGGAAATTCACCAGCACTTATTGCCACCTCCCCATCATACATGATGCCATCAGAAACATTCCCACACTCTGGAAGGCATTCAATTCCCTCTCCAAGAGATACAGAAAAACTATACACAGCCCTGTTTCGTCAATCTCGTGTTCTAACACAACATTTTAATGGGTGACTTCTGTGCTGCAAGGACTTTGAGAAAACCCTGAGAGAGGGCAAGGAGGGAGCAGATTCTTGGGGAAGTGGCCTAGGGAGCCGGAGCAGTGGAATAGCAAGGACTGACAATTAGCGGACAACTGCTATTTATAGGTACCTGGACTGAGAAGGCCTAGGCCCCTCCAACCCCAGTAGCTACTCAAGGGGGCAGGAAAGAAGCCCAGTCCTAAGTGAACCAGAAGAAAGGGCACCTGGGATACCCTCCACTCGCAGAGCCAGTCCCTGGAGTGGGAAGCTTGTGAACAGAAGGGGCCCGCTTGAGAGGAGAGGGTGAGCCCTTTACACGGCTCTAAAGCAGTAGGTTCCCAACCTGTTTTACACCACGGTCCAGCAAACCCATCATAAACTTTTGGTGGGTCGCTAACATTTTATTGGCATATTCATTATGGTAATTAATTTTAAAAGACCACGTGTTATTTTACCTCGCATCTGTACCACACAATTCACATCACTGTAACGGATCAGAGTTCGTAGAGATCTGCAACACTAAACAAAATTTTGCAGAAAGAATTCCCCACTGGCTGCTAGGTGGGACAGCCCCTCCCCCAGGGGCAACTAGTGCCTGCAGAGGGAGGGGCGCTGGTGCCGCCAAGTGCTACCCCCAGTTACCTGTGCCTTCCCCCCCATTCCCGATGGGCTGCGGAAGCGGCCATTGTATCTCCCCCTCTCCTCCTGTACAACGCCTGCCCTGTGTCTCTCCCTTCCCCAGCCAGGCTGCTCTTGCTTCCACAGCCTCTCTCAGCCCTCTCCCCACATCCCCCCTTTCCTTCCCTGTGACCCCTCCTCAGATTCCCTCCATTGCATCCCTGCTCCCATCTGCCCCATAAGTCTCCCCTGAATTCCCCCAACCTAACTTCAGTGTCTCCTGCATCCACCTCACACATCCCTGTTCCCCCTTGACTCCCTGTTATCTGCCCTGCCCCTCTTCAGCCCCCTCCAGGGCTGGCTCCCCCGGCCCTGCACACATTGGGAGATGCCAGCAGCTTCCCTTGTCCCTGGGCAGGGATTGCAGCCAGCTCCGCTGCCAGCAGCCCAGGGCCAAACTCTCCCCCGGAAGACTGGGGGCCCCTTTCCCAGGGGAGGGAGAAAAGGGGAGGGGAATTCTCTCTTACCTGACCACCAAGCACTGCCCGCTCTGTAGCATGGGCTGGACCAGACAGGGTCCTGGCCAGGCTAGGGGTGATGCCCTCTGAGAGGCTCCTGGGGAGCAGTGGGATTGACCCTCCTGGAGATTCCCCCTCACAGCTGCAGCATGGGCTCTGGGAGCCCAGCAGCAGCCCCTGCTGGGACTCAGGGATCAGGCCCAGAGCCTTGCTCCATAGACACTGCCAGCAGCGGCTGTGAGTTGCTTCCTGCTGTGGGGGCCAAGCCCAGCCCTGGCTCCCAAAGTCTCTGCCTGCTGCTGCTGGGTCCTAGCGAGCAACCCACTGAGCTGCAGTGTGCCACGGCCTGGCAGCTAGCAGTTTGCAACCTGGTACCGGTCCACAGGCTGGCAGTTGGGAACCACTGATCTAAAGCATCTTATTTAGAAAGACATCTAAATTAATCACCTTTCCCCTACTTCCGCAATGTTAAATATTTTCTGTTTGTATAGATACTTATAGTGATAATATAACCTTGTCTTTGACAAGCAAAATAAATTGAGCTCCTTAAATCTTTCATTGTAAAGAATACTTTCCAGACTCTGTATCCTTTTTTCCATCAATTCTCACATCCCTCTGCAATTTTTCACCATCCTTTTAAAAAAAATGTAGATGTCAGAAATGGACATAATAGTCAAGGAATTGTCTTACTAGTGCTAATCACTGATGTGTCACAATCTCGCTATTCCTACCTTATATTTTCATTTATAAATTCAAGGACGCTGCTAACTCTTTTTGCCAGAGCATCACTGTCAAATCTCCCTACAATGATCTTTCAGAGACACTGCTTTCCAGGAGAGGTACCACGCTATAAGAATACAACAGATGTTCCTGGATGTATGATCTCATGATTGTATCAAAATGCGTATTGCTTATCTACGTCCAGCCTATAAAGTGATCAGATCATTATATATCAATGACCTGTCCTCATGATTAACCCTCCTGCCAATCTGTGTGTTACCTGCCAACTTTTAGCAACAATGATTTTATACTTTTTTCCACATTATTCCTAAAATACAACTAAAAAATAGCTACAGTTGGGTTTTTTGGGGGAAAAAAAGGCACTGAAACTCTTCAAGCAGCATTCACTGCTTTATGATTCCCCATTAACAATTACATTGAGATTTATGATTCCCCATTAACAATTACATTGAGATTTATTTTTAATCAAACTAATGTGTCAGATTAATTTTGTACCATGTTAATACTTTAAAATCAGAAAATTCTATAGTATTAAATTAAACTTACAAAAAACAAATTGCTCATGTTAACAATTACTTTCAGAGAGACAAGATGTGTGAGGTAAAATCTTTTATTGGACCGGCTTCTTTAGTGAGAGAAACAGCTCTGTTTACCGCAAAAGCTTTTCTCTCTCACCCACAGAAGTTGGTCCAATAAAAGATATTACCTCACCCACCTGGTCTAATATCCTGGGAACAACTTGCCGAGAACACCACTGCACAGAACAGAGTTACGCTCATCAACCAGACTTATCTTGCTATAGAACATTGCCAAGTTGATTACATAAGACCTGTTTTCCATGAAAAGAGTGGTAATACTAACTGTATTTCTATCCTGTAATGAGAGCACTATTCCAATACACATCAAGGTCGAGTTAACCAGCCTGTCATCACCAGGGGCATGAAGCTTACCCTTTTTAAATACTGGCACAACTATTGCTTTCTTCCAGTCCTATGGAATTTCTCCAGTTTTTCAAGATATATTAAAAATTAACCCTGTAGACAACGTTCATTTTATGTCAGTGAAAGACATGACTTTGCAAAACACTTGAATTTATCTACTAACAACAAACAACAAAACCCATAATAAATACTTTTCCTATTCAATTCAAAGAAATACAAGTTCAGTGCTTAGCACAACAGGTATCAAACTCACCAAACGTGCATGTGGATTTCGGTGGTAATAAAGCTCTTTGTATTCGTCCATCCAAACTTCTGCAGCACGCACACTGTTAGCCAGGGCCTTGGCCCGCGAGTAGGGAGCTTGTTTTGGGAAAACGTGGCCTACATGAGAACAGGGGTGGATCTCAAGACTTCCTCCGCACTGCCAGATCTAATCAAAGAATTTGCATTATATATTAGCAATCTAAAACTGGGTAATCAACAAGATATGCAAAACACCACCACTTTACAATACTTTGTACTTACAGCTCTTTTCCAAAAATCTCTAGGCATCTTGTGAACAATAAATATGGTCTTGGGAGGGAGGCAACTATGATTCTCAATTTACAGTAAAATAATTGAAGGTATCAGAGCACATCAATGGGAGACTTGGGAAGATAATGATGAAGTCAGAACTCAGGATTACTGAGGTGCTCTCACTGGAGTTCTGATTTGCAAAGATGAGATAAGACAGATGTTCAAAGCATGATCCCATGTGCTCTGCTTAATTGCACTGGGCAATTCGGGCTTTCTTGCTCCTTTTTGGACTTCATATCTACTCCGGAGAGAGTTGGATTAAATAGCATAGGGTATGTCTACACTACAGCGTTATTTCTAAATATCTTATTTCAAAATAGTTAATTCAAAATAAGATATTTCGAAATAACGCATCTACACACAAAATGCATTTCAAAATAGTGTTTTGCTATTTCGAAATAGCGCGTCCACACTGATTGGATGCTGAATTGCATTTAAGGCCAGCTGAAACTGGTTCCAGCAGGGCATCAGGTCAGTAGTTACTTTGTGTGGCTGCTGCCTGAGGCTATCTGAAGCTTGTGCTTAAAGGGACCCCCCTGGACAGCCGGTTCTCAGCTTTTCCTGCTTGCTTGCCTGCCTCACTGAGGGACAGCAAAGCATTTTTGTCTCCGCCTGCTTTCGTTGCCTTGACTTGGGACACCACAGCACTCGGTGCCATGGAGCCAGAGCTGCCCCTGGGCACTCTGGTGCTCATTTTGGATGTCTTGCTGCAAGCCTAGCAGCAATTACTGGAGACTACCTGGAAACATCTGCGGCAGCCCGACCCTCTTCTGGACCCTCCTGGGGAACGAGGAGGAGCAGCAGCAGCCCCCGGATACCAGCATAACCCACCACATCTGACGTCTGGACACCTGCAGCGACTGGTGGAACCACATCATCCTGGAAGGACTAACAATGGACCCAGAACTTCGGGATGAAGAAGGACACCTTCATCGAGCTCTGTAAGTGGCTCGCTCCTGCTCTGCAGCAACACACGCATGAGGCCACACGCATGAGGGACACACGCATGAGGCCCGCCATTCCCCTCCACAACCGTATGGCCATCGCTCTATGGAAGCTCTCCATGCCAGATAGCTAGCGATCCGTGGGGAACCAGTTCAGCGATCCACGGTCAGAGCAGTGCTCATGAAGGTATGGCAGTCTCCGGCCACTGTGCCCGGGGGATGGGCGGGGCGGTTAAGGAGGGGATGGGCTGCCCCAGGGAAAAGGAGGGGGATGTGGTGCAAGTCCCCTCCCCGGGAGGGTTTCTTCTGTCCCAGACGCACTACGGACTGCCCACAGTGGCCAGGATTGCAGGGGGGGTTGCTCCTGGGGAAGGGCAGTGGTGGGGCTGGAGGCTCCCTATTTCAAAGTAAGCATCTACACAGCGCTTATTTCGATTTAGCTATTTCGAATTTGGCGCTATTCCTCGTGGAATGAGGTTTACCAAATTCAAAATAAGCACTCTGCTATTTTGATTTAATTTTGCAATAGCAGTTTGGCTGTCTAGATGCTAAGAAAGTTATTTTGAAATAACAGCTGTTATTTCGAAATAACTTTGCTGTGTAGACATACCCATATACAATAGGAAAGTGTCTTTGGCCCTAGATCTTAAATACGTAAACCTAAACTTTCATTTAAATATATTTCAAGCACTCCTGATTATGATGAAGTGATGATGTCTTTCAGAGTATGCAGACGGTCTTCAGCAGAAATAGAAGCAGCATCTTCTAGATCAGGGGTGTCCAAACTTTTTTCAAAGAGGGCCAGATTTGATGACGTGAACATGCGTGAGGGCCGACCATTTTGCCTGACATTCTTTGAACCATTAAAATTAAATGCAAATTAACTATTTTATGCAAAGTTTATTGCAAACAGCATACTTTTCATTTCGTCACATGGATGACAAATCTAAACAGGTGTTAAATCACTCTGCCTTTCATATCTGAAGGCCAGATGAAAAAAAAATCCAAGAAGCTGAAATATATGTCAGGAACATTGTAAAGTACATTACATATTATTGGTAATAAAGGTTGTCTGTCAACTTTTAAGTTCAAAAAATATGAACAGGAACATAACACCAAGTATACATGTTGTGTCCAAATATATTTATAACTGATTTAGACCAACTGACATTAACTGAGATTTTACAATGTATTCATCTCAATACATATGGATTCGTTGGGGGCCATAAAAGATAGATATTGCCAAATTACCTGAAATTAAACCGGAACACGGGCCGGACTTTGGACATGCCTGTTCTAGATACAGGGAGGAAGCCACTTGTCCTGATGGTGGCCAAGATGAACAGCTGGTTTGGCCTACCTCCAAGTAAAACTAATACATCGAAGGTTAGAGAGCTACAGATTATTATCAAGAAAACTTCTGGAAGAGACCTAAAGCCATTTAACTATGTGACATGCTTTGCAGCTTCATAAAGAGTTCTGAAGTTAGAGGAAAGACAGAAAATTGTGCTGCTGCACTAAACTAGTTAAGGCTTTCAATAATGGTTAACATGGACTAGCTGTAGATGCTTTTTGCAGAATATTATATATTTCAGTGAGCCAGGTTATTTTTTTTCAAGTTATTATGCAAGCAGGTAATCTATCTTCCCCTCTTTGAATGAAGAACAGGGGGAAGCTATTAGGATATGATCAAAAGTGAGGCAGGCTTGTCCCATGAGCTCCCTGTTATCTCAAATATATTTTTATCTCTTGTTATAAGCAATATAAAGGGACAAAGAGGTTATGAAAGTAGCAGGGAAGCAATGAAAATTGTTGTTTGTTTGGATGAAGATATGGTTCTAGTAGGCACTACAGAGGAGAGCAGACCCATTTTCACACACTTGACCTTTATTCAGCAGCAGCAGCTAAAATTAATATGGACTAGCGCACTGCAAGCTTGTGGGGATTAAGTCAGTCTCTTTTGGTTTATCAAAGGGAACTCAGACACTGAAAGACCCACCCAGCCCCTCCCAGCATTACTGATGCCCTTAGGGTATCGTTCAGTCAAGATTCCCCAGCAGTACTAAATTAGCAGTAAAAGATAACAGCTCGCCAGCCCCTAATTGTGAAATAGAACAACTGGAGCCTGATACAGATGGAAAGGATACAATTGTCCAAAAAACACTTGCTACCTATTTGTACTTCTCCAGCTTATGTGCATCCATCACTTGAGAAAACAATTCACAGGAATGGTTTAGTCTTTCATTAATTTAGTGGAGCTACAAATACAATTTAGTGAAAAGAAACATGACTCATGGGCCAGTTCTAGAATGAGAATTAGGGATAGCATGTCTGAGGTTTTAATTCTATTTTGTTTTGCATTTTCCACAGGGCTAATAGAGTGACAGAAAAACCACATCTGGCTTTCTTTTAAGCATAATTGGAAAAGTTCCAAGGTTCAGTATAGGTCAACTGGTGAGTGAAAGGAAGAAACATGCCTAAAGTAGGGTTGCCAACTTTCTAGTAACACAAAACCAAACAGCTCTGCCCTGCCATTGCCCTGAGCCCCCACCACCTCACACCTTCTCTGAGGCCCCACCCCCACTCACTCCATTCCCCCCTCCCTCTATGGCTTGCTCTCCCCCATCCTCACTCACTTTCACTGGGCAGAGGCAGGGGTGAGTCTGGGTAGGAAGTGTAGGAGGGGGCTCCGGGTTGAAGCCAAGGGGTTCAGCATGCAGGAGCGGGCTCAGGGCTGGGGCAGAGGGCTGGGATGCGGGAGGGGGTGTGGGTTCTGGATAGGAATGTGGGCTTCAGGATGGGAGTACAGGAGAAAGCTCAGAATTGGGGCTTCAGGAAGGAGTTTGGGTGCCGAAGGTGGCTAGGAGCTAGGGCTGGGGTGCAGGCTCCATGTTGGGGCTTGGGTGTGAGAGAGGGTTTGGGGTGCAGTTTTGGGAAGGAGTTAGAGTACAGGAGAAGGCTTAGGGCTAGGGTGGAATACAGGCTCTGTGAGGGCATTAGGGTGAAGGAGAGGGTTCTGAACTGGGGGAGGTGGGTTGAGTGTGGAACCGGGGCTTCGGGGCGGGCTCCAGCCAGCAGCACTTACCTCAGGTGGGGGCTAAAGCAGGTTCCCTGCCTGTCCTCGCGGCTCACTGACGTAGCTGGTATTTTTGGCTCCTAAGGCATGGGGGCCAGGGAATCCATATGCTGCCCACATTCACTTATGCCGCAGATCCTGGCCAAAGGGAGCTGTGGAACTGGTGCCAGGTATGGGGACAGTGCACGGAGCCTCCTTGATTGTCCTGTGCCTAGGGACTGCAGGGAGACACTGGCTGTTTCCAGGAGTCATGCTAAGCCAGGGCAAGCAGCAAACCTGCCTTAGCCCTGCTGCACAGCTGGTTGGAATTTTAATGGCCTGAAGGGTCCCTTTTTGATCAAACCAGATCCCTGGCAATCCTGGCCTAAAAATACATATTTTAAAGGCACAGCATATCACAGCTCGTCTGCACAGCCCCCTGATAGGGACTATGGGGGTGTGAGCTGCAGTACACATTAAATTGTGTTGTAACTGCCCCCTGCAGTCCACTCTAGCACAAACTAAAGGGTTACTTAGCATTAACACAGTGCCAATTTAGTGCACTCTGCAACTTATGCCCATGCACTCTGCAGCAAGGAGTTGTGCACAAAAGCCATTAGGCTCTCTAATGTATAGAAGACTGAAACTCTATTTAGAGGTGACAAATGTCAGCAGCTACATTTCAGAAAGGGGGCTTTCAGTTTTGGAAAATTCTATATAGAGTATCCTCTGGGAATGTTATGCAGGAAAACATCTGACTCTTACAAGTTCTCTTCTGAACTACCTTACCAGAAGCACTGAATTTTATTTAGGAAGTGTTAAGAGGTTTACAAATCATCACTATGTAAATATTAG